CTTGGTGCAGCTTCTACATGAGGACTTGCTGCTTTGACTTGCACTATTATGTTACAGAAATGGTTTGTTTGCTAGCTTCAAACTTTTCTTCTGCAATTTCCTCTTCCTAATGAAAGAGCTAAAGAGTTAGGGCCTTGGTCTGGATTAGGCTTGGCTTAAGGAAATATTGTGGCTGGTTTGATCTTCAATTCATATCACTAGAATTCCTGTATATCAGCAATAAGGGCATTTTGCTTTCTTATCGCTCTTACATTCACTAGAGAAGCACTTGTAATTTCCTTCAAAAGTCTTCCTTTGCGCTCACAGTTTGGCTAACTCTTTGGCACAGAAGCTTTGGCCTACGTTGTCTTTTAGCTTACCTTTCTCATGGAGCTTAATTACTTTTAGCTTTTGGTTTAAAATGAAAGATAGGCAGCTCTTTCACTGAAGTACGTAAAATAACCATTGTAGGTTTATTTATTCACTGAATTTCAATAGTGTTGTATCTTAGGGAATAGGAAGGCTCAAGAAGAAGGAGAGAGATGGGAGCAGTCATACCACACACAATATTAATCCATAAACTGTGCCTACTGTCTTACATAGGTGCCCCAAACACCTGATGGTGCCCCAGACAATCACAGCAGTAACATAAAAGAGCACAGAACACAGATCACCATAGTAGATATAATATTAAATAAAAAGTTTGAAATATTGCAAAAATGCAGACGTGACACAGAAACATGAAGTGAGCACATGCTGTTGGAAAAATAGTGCCATTAACTTTCTTAACATGTTTTCTACAAACCCAAAATTTGCAAAAAAAAAAAAAAAAAAAAAGCATAGTATCTGTGAGTTGCAGTAAAGTAAAGCACTATAAACACCGTAAGTCTGTATTGCATATATTACATGAAATATAAGAATTAATATGAAAGTTCAAAGTATAAAACTATGGAGGGTCAGATTTTAATAACAAGGTTTAAAAGTCAATAAAGAAAAAATGTCAGTTTGAGAATACATTTATTTGAATGCAATTACAGGAAAAATAAGCAAATGAAAGAATAAAATAATATAATTGACACCATCAAACTGAATAACAGCTTTATGGCAAAAGTAAATAAATGGTAGTATTACCCGAAATATAATCAATGTCTGAAGAAATATGGAAATATATTTTCAACATAAGTGAAGGATATGAGGTATTTACAGAGAAGTCTGTTAAAATCAGTAAGAAAAAACTAGTGTGTTTGAAATTGAGGAAAGGTCGCCTACCAGTTATATAAACAGAAATCACAGTGATTATATATTTTGAAAAGGAAAAACATTGCTGTTAATTAAAATCACATACCAAATCACAGGAATTTTGTATCTAATATTTTAAAACTATGATCTTGATTGCCACTGCTGGTAGAAAATCGGCACTCTCCCACACTGCTTGTTGGAACGTAATTTTGAAAACATTTTCCCAAACACCAGAACGCTACATACCATGTCAGTCAGCAATTCTACTTCCAGGAAGAACCCGTGGAAGTGACCGTGCAAAAGCCAAATCACCACAGCATTTTTTTGTTGCATAAAAAGTAAAAACAAAGTAATTCAGTTATCCATTAATAGAGATGTAAATTCTTGAGTCTGTGGAATGGTGGTGTTAGTAATAAAAAAGGAGGAATTATGTGCCTCACATGCTGCTGAGATGTGTGTGTTAGAAAATAGAGCGTATCGGACTGTGATAGTTTCCCTCTAAAGATTTAATTCAGTGTGTGGATTCTCTTACTTTCTCTTTTCCACAACGGGCTGACCTCTGTAAGTTGACCACCCAGGAGACTAACAAAACTGGTCTACACTCAGAGGTGGTCAAAGTGTGGAACTTCCATTGACTACATGTGGTAGATGTCTGGTCTATGAAACTCAGGTCAACTTAAGGAGGTGGTCAACGTAGAGAGGTGGTCAACTATGGAGCTTCTACTATATCTACCTTTCAAAATCTTATGAATCACTTTCCCAAGCTGTATATACACCTATTTGTTTGATTAAGAACATTATCTCTATACATGAGATATTACATTATGTATTACACAAATGTCATTATCAAAGGGTGACATATACTGAGGTTTTAAATTGTTTCTAATTTTTCCTATATGAGTCACTGCAGCAACAATATAAATAACTATATCGTTATGCTTTGCAATGCATTATTCATCCAAAATTAATGTGATGCACAAAGAGGTCTAAGTGATATAAATCTATAAATCTCTCAGCTTTTATATTATATTCCTGTGTGAAATTGAGAGACTCAAGACCAAGAACAAATTCAATTAATTTTTATTATATTTAATATGAACAACATGTTAAGTAAAAAGGGAAATCTCCACCTTAACTGTTGGAGGAATATATGAATTTATAAAAACTTTTTTTATAATGTAAGAGGGAAAAAAAGTTAAATAAAAATGTTTTTATTAATTTTGCAAGCTCAAACTTATGCTGAAACACACCATTTTTCTTTTCTACATGTGAAAGCCAAAATTTGTACATTAGTCTTCTACAGTTTTAGAGATTTCACTGGTTTACCTTTAATCGTTAACCATTGGGCACTGGTGATTTTGATCTGTTATAGCCTTCAGGATTATTAGTATCAACTTCAGACATCAAAATTTCATGTTCATTTTGTCTTGTCCATAATCACTTCCATATTTTATTTATTATTATTATATCTAAAGTCACATGTATGCCACATACACACACATGTGCACACACATTAAAGAAATGAATTTACTTTAATTGCCAAAACCTAACTACCTTGTTATTGAGAAATATTTTATTACTAATGTTGTTTACAATTACAAGCATGTGGTGATAACAGTAACAACAACAAAAGACTCACATTTGATTGGTACCGCTGTTGGTTTAAACTCTCTGAGCATAATACATATAATCACTGATTACATTTGAGGACAGTTTACTCCACCTAGCTAAATAAGTTCACACCTTTCCTCACAAATTATTCTTTGTAATTGCTGGTGGACATAATTTAGTATCAGTTTTAGATTTAGTTCTTTTTAGAATGATTGAAATATAAAAAGATGCATCTTTAAACATTCAAAATAGGATTTACACAATTATAAACCAAATTCATGTTAATAGTTACAAAATATTCCCTACATGTTGGTCACCTTTTGTGAAACTTTGTAACGAAAATTTTGTAGATAAAGACACACTTAGCTGCAATTTCCCAGTTTCCCAACAAATGGTGACTTTAGTGTTGACTTTTAGGGTCCCTTGTATATATAGAGATACTTCATTTGATTTGATAGTGTATCATACACAAAGGGGCTATTGTTTTGTGTGTTTTTTTGATTTTGTGTAATTTTTTTTCCTGCAATATTCAGTTCAGTCTAATTATAGCAGTTATGAATGAAATTCAGTTGCAAAGTTATAGCTGAATTATTTTTTTGTTTGTTTCATTATTCTTTGGGATTCATTGAGGGTACATGAGGGTACATGCTATTAGGTTACACTGTTTGCATTTATAAGGTGAAGTCCCAGTTGCAGTTGAGTCCTTCGCCCAGGAAGCATGCAGTATACCCCTACATTGTACCCGATAGATGAATTACATGTTATGTAAAGAGTTTTCCGGGCACAGAGGTGGTTCATGCCTGTTTTCCCAGCACTCTGAGAGGCTGAGGTGGGTAGTTTGTCTGAGCTCAGGAGTTCAAGACCAGCCTGAGAAAGAGCTAGACCCTGTCTCAAAGAAAAAAAAAAAGCCAGGTGTTGTGGGGAGCCAGCTACTGGGGAGGCTGAGGCAAGAGAATTGCTTGAGCCCAATTGCTTGAGGTTGCTGTGAGCTGTGAGGCCACAGCCCTCAAACATAGTAAGGAAGGTTACTTACTATGAATACTTAGTAAGACCCTGTCTCAAAATTTAAAAAAAAAGAAGTTTTGCAATAATGCCTTTACAAAACTAATTCTGTGGATTTTAAAATTGGAACATGTACTAGAAAAGACATTGTAAGTATCTAAAGATACATTTAAACCAGGACAGATTTAAACACTGCATAGCTACACTAACTAAAGTTACCATAACATTCTGACTCTTTGTTAGTCCTGAAAAAGGGAGGGGGAGGTAAGAGGAAATTGCCTTTTAAAGTAGAGAGCAGCTGAAACATATCAGGTATATCTTGAATTAAAATGATCTACTATACTGCCAAGAAACTAGCAGCCTTGAATTGCTGTTCAGATCTGTTGTAGTTAATAATCCTGAGTGTTATAGGGTCATCTTTGAAACATATTAACTGCACTACACTATTAAATGTCTGTAGATGAAATGTGTGTTATTATGAATGAAGAATATGGGTCTATGAGCATTCGGGGGGTAATTTGGTTTCTTTTGGCATGATTGATATGTATGCACAGAGATAACTTAATCCACAAGAGATGCTCAGGTAATTTATTTCCAACCATTGAAGTAAAACTGGACAATAATTTATATGACTTTTAATGGGATGCTGTAGCCAAGGCAGACTTGACAATGAATGATACAAAATACTTGTCACTGTACTGTTTATCTTTAGCTTGTACACTTGGATGTTTTTGTAGCAATATCAACCTTTTTCCCTTTTCATATGTGTGAATCCACATATACAAACCCACAAATATATAACCTACATTTTTATTAGCATGATTTTAAATAGAAATTAAATGCTTAATGATAATTGTCGTATGCTTTTACTTAAATTGGATAATTCCTGCATTCCAATCAAGAAATATATTATAATATCATCAGGTGCTAAAATAAATGAATATTGGTATAAAACAGATTTTATTTCAAAAAGTGTAAGATTGTCTTTCTTTCTTTCCTACTTAGGTCACCGTAGAATTTTACTTACTACCTCGTATATTTTTTTTCATGTGAGTGCTATATCCCTTATTATATAGGGAAAAATAGAAATGGTCCTAATTATCTGTGAGCTATTAATCTATAAAATAATATAATGAGAAAAAAGAGAACAACGAGTAAACAGCTAATGAGTGCTTGCTCGGCAGCACGTATACTGAAATTGGAATGATATAGAGAAGATTAGCATGGCCCCTGTGCAAGGATGATACGCAAGTTCATGATGCATTCCATATTTAAAATAAATAAATAAATAAATAAATAAATTTTAAAAATTAAAAATACAAATAAATGGCTAATGAAATATGTTTGGGAAAAATGTCTTACAATCTTATGTTCACTTTATTATACAAAATATAGTGGAGGTAAAATTTAGATTATTTATTGCAGAAATTATTTCATTTACTATTTAAAATAACAGTGCAATAAAAATATATATTTATAATTTGAACTGAAATTACATTAGAAACAGAGTCTAATTTTTTAATGTATGTTATCTATAGAAAAAATTTACTTTATCAGCAAACATGTATTCAAGAAATCTTGATTGGCTTTTGAATATTGCTGTGATTGTTTTTCTTGGATGGATACAAATTTAATTTTAAAAATTAAGTAATGAAACCTTAGAACTCTAGTGCTGATAGAAATTGAACTATTATAGCCTATTTTACATAAAGATTACAGTTGAAAGTTTAGTTGGTGGTATTAGTTTCTTTGGTTAACTTTTTGAAGCTTTTTTTCTTTTTTTGGCTGGGGCTGAGTTTGAACCTGCCACCTTTGGCATATGGGGCCAGCGCCCTACTCCTTTGAGCCCCAGGTGCTGCCTGGTTAACTTCTATTTAACAATACTTCTGGGACATCAATGGCAGGAGAATTATGAAACATCCCAGGAGAACACTCATGTCTCAATATTCAGGCAGAAGGAAAAGTTAACCCCTTATTCCAAAGAATAAGTGAGCAATTACTACTATTTATATTCTTTTACCTCTGTATACTAACAAAGGGATACTACAATCAGATGTTAAATGGCACAGTAAAGTGTAGCCAAAGCATGGTATCTTTACTACCATATTTAAATAATTCAGCATACTAATATTAAAACCAGGAAAGTTGTTTGAAAAACATAAGTTTATTGCTTTTATATAAATACTATAATAATAAATTTTAAAATTTTAACATTGGGTATACTCCCTCTCTTTTTAACACTATTCCCCTGTGTTGATTGCAGTCACATCAATAATTTTACTAATATCTTAGCGTCTCAGTTCCTCGACATTGCTTTATTCTGCGCTCCTGTCTTTTACACCAGCTCAACCATTCCCATCCACATTTACACCATTAACTGCTTCTTACAATTTTGATTCTGATCACCCCTGTCTCTGAACACTGCCAGCTATGGCTCCGCCTACAACCCTTAATATCTATAACCCAAATAGAAACTTGCATTCAATTCAATTAAAAGTTATTTATTTTTTATCTTTAAATAATGTTCAGGACCAATCTTTGCCTTTCTTTGCCCTATTTTTTTCTCCTTCCCTTTACAAACAAAAAACAGCAGCTACGACCACAATAACAGAAACAAAAACCTTCCTATATGTGTGATCCAAACTCACTTCCTGTAGCTTTTCTTTTTTTCAACCAATATAAATGAGGCTGGCATTTTCATTGCTTCACTGATACTGCACTTGGGAAGGACACTTGTGACATCCACTACTATTAAACTAATGCTTTAGTCTCAGTTCTCATCATTCTTGACCCTTCAGTTCTCTCTAATAGAGTTGAGGTTGAACATTGAGACCTCTATGACAAATGACGCTAAATAATATCATCCTACCATTTTTTGTCTACTTATTAGCTGAAATATACAACCTTATTATTTTTCTAAAATTAATAGTATGATCCAACAAGGAAGAAACTCAGTATTACTTAAAATATTTTTGCAAGAAAAGTTAATAGAATTATCTATTGTGCATATACGTAAATATATCTTGGAGTGCTTGTTCATTATTGATTGTATTCTCAGGGTACATTGCTGGATACTAATCTTTTTTTTTATTTTGAGAAGGATGAAAGTATTAAAAATAACTTGTAGTTATTTTAAAAACTAGAATGATATCAATTGAATGTGATTTGTCATTCTAGTTAAAATGCAAACTATAAAACCCAAAGCAAAACAAAATAAACAAAGATCATGTATTGCCCTGCTTGCCTTCCTGTGTATATTTAATGTTCCTGCAGTTTTGAAGGATGAACGTTCTATATCCCATGATATCTTGGTAGTGTACTTTCTCAATTGAGAAAGAAAATTTGATTGTTTTGGTTTAACTTTATCACATTCTCTTATTTTCATTAATAGTGAGTATATTAATGCACTAGAAACTTCTACTGCGGTAGAATGCTCCTGAAAACATCACACTATAGTTTGTACATGCTGCTAGTAACCTTTGTATAGACTTCAGAAAATAGTCCACTAATTGACTACTTTATAATATCATAATACTTTGTTAATATCAATAATAAAGCCTCTAGATTTTAGGATTATAAAATGAAAAGTTCCAATTACCAATATATTATGTTGGGTATTATAACACTGATAAATATGTATACTTCCATGTAACAGAATATTTAAAAGAATTGCACATACCTCTACATGAATATTTTACAACTCAGATTTCCTAATTTAATGCAAAAATATTTTCAATAAATCATTAATGATGCAAAAATAATAAAGCTACATTTAAAAAATTACATAATTCTTATAATCATGGATAAAACTACTTATTATGTTACATAATAAACTTATTAGAATACATCACCAGATTTAGAATCTATAACCTTAATTTTAGTTTTTTCTTTTCAGTTTAAAAGCATCATACTAAAAATGTGCATTATAAAAAAAGAAGGGCAAAGGAAAAGTTCATAAAAGTAACAAGAACAAAAATATATAGAAATTTATATAGATTGACTTGGCACCCATAGCACAGTGGTTATGGTGCCAGCCACATACACTGAGGCTGGCAGGTTTGAATATTATCCTGGGCCAGCTAAACAACAATGACAACTGCAACAAAAACTAGCTGGGTGTTGTGGCAGGTGCCAGTAGTACCAGCTACTTGGGAGGATGAGGCAAGAGAATAGCTTAATTCCAAGAGTTTGAGGTTGCTGTGAGCTGTGATGCCTCAGCACTCTACACAGAGTGAGACTCTGTCTATAAAGAAAAGAAAAGAAAATGGATATATAGAGTGCTTATATTTAAATATTGTTTAATAATATCAATTTTACAACAGAAAAATATGTGTAATAAATAAAAATACTGGTTAGTATTAGAAGAGAAATCAATTTATGACTGAAAGTATTTTAAAGTCCCTAACCCTATGATAGACATCAACCAGGAATAGGTTGTCAAAGCAAAAAAAAAAAAAGCAATTCTTTGTTTCATTCCTCCAACTCCATTAGTAAAAAGGCAGATAAATAAATCATATTGTATGTGAAAATGTTATTTTGAACGTGTACCATGCAGAAGGCACAAAGAATGCCCTTGGTGTTACGATATGACTGATATATTTATTACCTTTGGATTTTACTAGATTAGAAGAACGTTTATTTAAGTCATTGTTTATTATTGTCTTCTCATGTTGACCTCATTTTTTGGAGCCACTCTTTCGAAGTTTCTGTCTCTGCACTTTCATTGAAATTGCCGTCATTTTTGTAATGGAGGACTTTCAAGGTCAAATCCTGTGGTTATTTTCTGTTGACATCTTTTTTACTGATCAACTTAATCATTTTATTTTCATTCAATATTTCACAGGTACCTGCCCTGTGAAATAGTATAGAATAATAAGGTAAAATGGACTCTTGATTTGATTGATTGGCATTTTAATAGAGAAAATATTTAATAAGCATTTTCCAATTGCTTAGTCTTTTCCAGGCAGCAGCCTCTGTGAATGAAATGTTCTAAAATAACTCAAAATATGACTGTTTTAAAGAGTACAAATGCGCAACTGAGTAGTGATAGTATATTGAAGCTTTTTTATTGTAATATAAGTACACACTAAATACTATGAATAAAAATTAGGTACAGGTGGTCCCAGAGTTATGAACAAGATAGGTTCTGTAGGTTTTGTGCTGAAGTTGAATTTGTATGTCAGTTGGAAGAAGTACCTTTGCCTCTGACCTATAATAGCCCACATTCATAAGTGTGAGTTGTATGTAAGTCAGATGTTTGTAACTCAGAGATTGCCTGTACCATTGGAAATAAGTATGGTATGTTTATGCTTAGTCATCATTTTGAAAGGTTTATTAAGAATTCATAATATGTGTAAAGTTGCCACTGACATTATTAATTTTATTCTATGTGTTTTACTGCCAGTATTATTGTATATTTCATAATGAAATAAACTTTTGGCAACTATTTTAATGTAGAAAAAAATATATAAATTATATTAAGCATACTTTCAGGAGAAAAGTTATTTTAATAATAGTGATGGGTAAAATATAATTTCAGAAAAAATAAAAGTTCCTTATATGTGTAAATTTAGCTGTATCATCTTTTTCTAAAATTCCATTTAATCTGATATTAGCATTTCTGAACATTTAGTATTATGAGTTAAATACTGACTAGTACCTTTGCTGATTCAATAATTTGCTTAGTAAATGTCTATTAATGACTCACATAAACTATGATATCTGCTAGACCATAATCATTATAAATAAGAATAAATAATACAACTAAAAAGAAGATAAAAACTATGATATCTGCTAGACTATAAATAAGAATAAATAATACAACTAAAAAGAAGATAAATATCTCAAGTTTAAAAGACTTTTATCTCATAAATCATTAGGTAATTTTTTAGAAGGCTGAAATTAGCTATTTTATGAATTCCTTTCTAAAAAATCATATTTGTTATTTTACAAAGAAATGTATAATTCTAGGCATTAAATGTTAGAATAACAGTTTACAACTTAATTCTTTATTAATAAGGATTGTCACTTTTAATGGTATTCTAAAAATCACACAATTGGCATATTTAACTTTTTAAAAACACTAACTGTAATACTTTTTTTTTTGAGTTTTTATGACATTGATTTATGTGGTAAGGTTCATGAATTGGCATAGACTGGCAAAGAATGTTGATGTTTCTAAAGGAAAGTTTAAAGTTCTGAAAACCACTCTACAAAATCTGCTCTAAAAATCTGAAATGTTATCTAATTTCCATAACTTCAATATTATGGATTTG